AATCGGGGCCGGCAAAAAGCTGCCGGGAAACGCGCTCGTAAAGCGAGCGGGTCTCGACGCCAGCGTCTGAAATCTTCCAAGGCTATAATCTATTAAGTTTTCTAATCAAATCCACATGTATCCTAATTTATAGGGAAAAAGGATGTAACATTGTAATCTTAGAGTAAGAGTTTAATGTGTGTTTTACTTATATCTGCTGTAAAAGAAATCGGAAGGTTATTTTCTTTTTGTATTTCTGTTTCTTTCTTTTTCTGCACTTTTCTTTTTTTCACTTTTCTTTCTTCTATTCGTCGTCTTGATTATTCTGCTTAGCCTTTATCCTTCTGTTCTTAAAAAGGAAAGTCATTATAAAAAAAAAAAAGAAATCGTCCAAGGCGGTGTAAAACCCCGCCTGCACTACAGCAGACGAACGCTGCTGGTAGTGAATGGTATTCGCACGTGACTCAGTATAGCGGAAGCCCAGTCCGATGGGCTTCGCGTGTTCGGAGGATGCCCCTGGTTGTCCGAGAAAGAAGTTGCGCTGGGTTTGAAATGCGCTCGGGCGCGTAACCCGAGGCCGGATCAGGGCGGTTTGAAAAAAATCGGAGGAAGGCTTCTCGAGAGAAGAGCGAGTTGTATCCACGCGCGTATCCCTGACCTTGTTGGTGCGGTGTTACTGTTTTGGATTTAATCCCTCAGGCGCGCAGAAGCGCAGTTATGCCAGCTGTGGGGGGCCCGGCGCTTTCACTCGGCTCCAAACAGCAAAGTGAAAGGAGAAATAGCCAGAAGAAAACGTGTCTCCCCCCCCACCACCACAAGACCCTTGTTAACAGTTGCAGTGCTGGGCTAGTTAGAGCCCATGTGAACAACCCCCTCCCTTGTGTTGGTAAACAATCCACACTTGGGAATTTGGGGAACTCCAGGTTGGAAAACCCCTGATCCATCCTAGGCAGGGCTTCTTGGAGCCTCCCCTTTCCTTCATGATGCAACCGCTGGCAATTCTGTATGGCCTTTTCGTACATTTCTAGCCTGACATCTAGTATTGTGTTAACAGGGCACCTATTTTCTTCTTTACTTGCTTGCTTCTTTACTTTCTTTGGGGCACTCTGGGCATTCACCCGGAGAATTGGCCTCCACCTTTGAAGTTCACCATAAAGAAGCCGGTTTCAGCCTTGTTTGCAATGAAGTTGCATTAGAGTTGGCGATTCTGAGTGAATGGATATAACATTATAAACTGCTACTTGTAACCTGCCCCCGGTGGAATGTTCTCCTGCTTTTTCCTTTTCTGACTCATCCATGTGTATTTAAATCCTAAAGAAGTTCACTCCCTCCTTGTGTCTGATGCAATGAACTGCAGTTCAGGAGAGTTTATCCCTTATATTAACATTTGTTAGTCTTAAAAGATGCTACTAAAATCAGACTTTTTGATTTTAGATACAGTACCTTCAGATTGATCAGTTTGCACTTAAGTGGCTTTCCAGATCATTGCAATGTTTATCAAATATTTCTGGCAACCTCTGTTGCTAGATAAATTTCAGTATTGATCATTACCTGCCCAGACTTGCAACAGACAAACTGATAATTTTTAGGGACTAAGTCAGTGGGCCAACCTTTACATTTAAACTACACTCAAAGGAAATGTGGATCTGTGTAACATTAAGAAATATTAATCCTTCTGGTTGACAGAAACTTAAATTCTTAGAAGTCACTTGCTTTGCTTCAGTCACCAGCAATGCATTCAGTAAATAAGCAGTGTGATTAAATTGGTATTGAATTAAATTATTGGCAGTAGATTGCAAATAATTATTTGTATATCAGCTTTTTGGAGTAATTTCTGAATAGTTTAGAACTTGAACGTTATCCTTTGTTTGGTTTTGAATAAAGCATGATTAAACAAATCCTGGCTTAACAAAGTATGGAAAACTCGAGAAATGTATACTGTATTCTCGTTTTCCTGATATGCTTACCTATGTTTTGTAGAATTAACCCAGTTATCCAGATTTGTACATGTGGATGAAGCTGTTTGGTTTTAACTGATCTATTTAAGGGTGTCTATGTGTTCAGTCAATCCTATTCTGATCCCACACCTGGATTCACAAAGCATGCTTAGATTAAAAGATGGTTGGTTGGTTTATGTTTGTGCTATGTGAATTCAGTCATATTCATAATTGTTTAGGAGAGAGTAGGTAGTTTTCTACCTGGGAAGCTGAATTGCACCACATTTTGGTAACCTAAAAAAGTAGAGAATTGTTCATATTGGTTATATCTACAATACAATTGGGAGAAGAAGTGGATGCAAATCTAGTAGACCAATTTCTATTGTTGTGTTGGCTGAAAGTAATACAGGCAGTCCTCAACTTAGTCACAATACAGAATTTACAGTTGCCAGAATGTCTAGCCAACTTAGTCCATTTATGATGAACGGTGAAATAGGCAAAGGAATACTTCTTTCCACACCAGATCTTAGTTCCCCCTTGAGTCATACCAGAACTATGGTTTACTGACTTTTTTGGCTCGCTTCTCTAGCTCTGCTTTAAAGCTTGAGGCTTAATTTTGGTGCCACTAGGCTTTTATGCAGTTTTAACTAATTTTACAGCCACAGTTTGCAGTTGTGGGTTCACATGCCACAATAATAAGCCATAATGTGGTTGGTTTGGCTTTCAGCTCATGTGAATTCAACCACTGTGGGTTGTGAACGATAGACCATGGTTTAGCATATTTGATAAACCCAAATGCTTGTTGTTTATTCAGTAAATTATGATTAAGAAGTCATGGCTTGGCTCAGTGTGTGAAACTGCTTATCACACTAACATTACGGGAAATGAATCCTTTGTGATTGATTGTCTACACTGCACTGGTTTTGCTTGCTACTGCTCCTGATTGTTAGGTTCAGGTAAAATAACCCCTTAAATGTAGAAGAGTCCTTAAGTCTACTTAGTAGAGGAAATGATAAAATGAGGATTAAGCTGTGATTAGCTGGATTCAAGAGTTGGTTGAACAATCATGCCCCAAAAATATATATCAGTGCCTCCTCATCAAGGTGAAAATGTCAAGGGGCATTTCTACAAGGCTCTGTTCTAGACCATGTATTGTTCAACATATTTGTAAATGACTTGGATGAGGGGTTATAAAATAGGCAGACAACACAAAGATGGGATATAGCAAACGCCTGAGAGAATAGTGTTGAGACTGAGAATTTTGACATGTTGAAACAATGGGCAGAAACCAGTAATGTGAATTTCAATGTGGACAAATGCAGAGTCTCATGTTTGGGTAGGAACAGATCTCAAAGGCATGAGTAAGGATGGGGAAGGGAGAAGCAAACTGGGTATGTGCAGAAAGGATCTGGGTGCCTTTGTGAAACATTAACTGAATGTACAGTAAGCCAACAATATGACGCAGCTGCAAAAAACAAACACAGTTCTAGGCTGCATCAACAGACATGTCGTGTTAAGATCAACAGAAGTCATCATTTTTCTCTGTTCTATGTTGGACAGACCATCCCTAATATATTGTGTCCAGTTCTAGCCATTGCAGGAAGGGCATTAACAAACGGAATGTGTGAACCAAGAAGATAAGCCACTTGGAAAGAAAACGTATGAGAAAAGGTGGGAGGTGTGAGCTTTGTTAAGCCCGGAGGAGAGAAGAGAGGACTTTAGCTGTCTTCAAGTACCTAAAGGCCTGTCATAGGCAAAATTGTTCAAAGTTGTTCCAGAAAGACATAAAACAGTACATTTAAATTACGAGAGCAGGCTGCTTTTGACCAGTCCCTGAGTCTGACATAAAGGTATCAGGCTGTCCTATATAAATGTGGAGATTCCATGTTGTTCAGATAATCCTCTGCAAAACTTCATAATCCAGAATAAATGTTAAGAAAGGGACAGTATTTTTTACTTCTGGCCTGTTTGCAATGAAACCTCCCTGCTTGCTTGACAATCGTTTGCAGAAGGGATCAGATTGCTTTTATTTGCCAAAGGGTTAACGCCTGTCTTCTTCCCCAATTGTTGTGTATCTATATGTGATGTACGTGGATTGTGAAATACGTTGTAGTGAGATTGGGATATCAATATGTTCTCTCACTTTCATTGGGAAAAGAGTATTTTCCTTTTAGTGAGGTTTTTTCCTGTGGTATTTTCTGCCTCTCTGTTTGATCTCTTAGGCTATTTAAAGAA